CCCACCCACCCGACCATAATGACGCTTTCGGAGGCGAGAGTGACAGTTTATTTAATGTGTAAAATAAATTTCACGACCAGTGGTGTGTCAGTTATCAGTCGTGTAGCTCAGGTTCTCAATACAAACCCGATGTGACCGGAATTGTGTCCTGACAGAGATGTGGGCATTGCAATTGATTTTCACATCGCGTGAAAACATGAGTAGAATTTAATAAACCAAACGAAGACCTATTGCTTCTTGTGATCTTCATCCCTTCTAAAGCATGGTGCCCTTGCTCTAACGGATACTTTCCTTCTATCCTCAACACATCGTTTAGCACGTATTCTAATCCTGATTGCTGGAGATCTGTCACGATCATTCCTATTCCAAAATTGTGTAGACACAGCACCTTGTTCAAAAGTTTCGGTCCCATTGCTCTAACGTAGTGCAATGATAAATTAGTAGAACGTGTCATTCTCAAACGCCCCCTCCCTTGTTCATTACGTCACAAAGCTTTAGACGCATCGGCGAAATCTATAAGATGCGTTTTCTTAGATTTTTCGTCGGCGTTTGGCTCTGTTTCATTTTCCCTCGTCCTTCGTCAAATGGAATCATCATTTGGCTGTCCGAAGCACCTACTGGTATGGTTCGTCGATTACTTCACAAACAGAACTCGGCATACTCGGCTCGTTAGGAAAACATTTGAACCGCTCATGAACAATTTGGTAGTGCTACAGGATGCCGTAATATCTCTGTTCTTGTTTTCCGCCTACATTAGTGACGTTTCAGCGAGTTCTCCAGCCCAATGATTTAAATACACTGATGACGTGGCTCTTCGCCAAGCCATTTATGTGTCTGAGGACCTTCTAAATTCCTCCAATAATCTACCGCATATTTACGAATTTTCCGTTCGTTCTGGACTGTCTCTAAATTTATCCAAGTGCTTCCAGTGTACTTCCACCCTATCTCTCAGTCTATTTATTCACGTGACCCCTTGATTGTAAACACATATCCCCTAATTAGAGTAGATTCTGTGAAGTGTTTAAAAGTTACACTTGACACAAACTTTAATTGGACATCCCATATTTACCACTCTGTACAGAAACTGTGTGGATTACTTTTTTCAAGTTCGAAGACTTAGGAAGTTCAATGCCAAGCAAAAAATCATTTCACTTTTTTTTTCTCAATGTGTTTTTCCCGTCCTTCTTTATTTGCCCCCCACCCCCACCCCCGGTACTTTTTGCTGTTCCGCTTAAGAAAGACTTCGAAATTCTTTTTCGAGATTTATCCATTATCAGTTTTCAGTCTTTTAAACCCCTTTGATGATCTATCTAGAACACTGTGTGAACTTCACTTGTCCGCATGTGAGACATTTGCACAGAAAATCCGCTCTGACCCCACACTCATCCTTTACATGACGATCTATCCAAATGCTGCTCTCATTTATCTACACGTTCTACGTATTCATTATTACCCTCTCGTATTAAGCTCTACAGAAATTCCTCAGTAGTTCCCTATCTCTCCAAAATCCTTGTAAAAGGGACAACGTGTTTCTTCTGAACCTCTTAACAATCTTGGATGTTTCACTCATCTTATTTTCTTCTCTTGACGAGATGTGCAATTCGTGACTGAAATGCGGAAATCTGTTCACGCAACAGTCTATAAAAATACATAGATAGATCTGTCCAACATATCCGGTTATTGATGGATAGAGCCAAACCACACACAGAAACAGGCACAATATGATTAACCCTATTTGTCTTTCAAATAGGCGGAGAAAACCAATCGATCACTGATTTTTATTTCGTCTTCCCCGACACAGAATGATGTCACACTTTCGGGATTGGCTCGAGGCAAAACAGAAATCGGAAAAGATATCACCCAAATCCGACCCAGCTCCCGGGTTGGTACGTGAGCTCGATTTCGTCACAAACACAACACGTTTGCTTGCTATGCCTACCGGTCGAACAAAACCGGAACTTGTACAACGTCGCCTGAAAACGGCAGACAGTATTTTCAAGTAAGTCAGAGTTTAGTGGAGTGCTATTGTTTATCCTCGCTAGACGATCGGTGTAAACTGTTCGTATTGTAAAGGTCCCGAAGCCGGAATATAAACAACCTGTTAACAATCGAGTGCGCTAATCCAAGCTTGCTACCGTAAACACTGAGTGTTGTCAAAATATCGGCATTCTCCCCGAAATACATGTTGTTCCGAAATATCCGGTTAAAACCAGAGTACCTTGTGAATTACGATTAGTTTGGTTCAGTTCAGTCTAGTTCTTACACCCATCAACCATACACTTTTGTGCGCCGGTTTGGGTTGCTGTCTTTTAGTGCCCCATTTTGATTAAAGAATAGAATGAAGATTATAATGTTGAAAACAAATTCAAGCGGAAGATGGAGAATTCATATAGAGTGGTTTTAGGAGAATAATGAGTGGGTGCACGAGTACCACTGTTTGTGACACCCAACCATATCACTCAGTGTAGCTAACCATCGGTGACCATCATCCCGAGGTCCCCATTTAAGGAGCTTAACGGGATCTATGTGACCTAGTCTCCTGGTTAGGGTTTTCATACCCTTATGCCAGGTCTTCGTTTGATCACCCTTGACTTTCTGCCACCCACTGCCTGCCTCGGCAAACATCGCTCGCGATGGTAACCTATTTGGTGACATATGTTCGGTACTAGTGATCAATCAGAAGAGGAACAACCAGCAGGATAACCAGTCTTCATATAAATACAATCTCTACTCCTGTCCATTTGTCTTAGAAAAACGTATGATTTTTACCAAGAAATGAATTTATCCACATTCTCAGTACAATGTATTCTATTGTCCTTCCCGTTTTGATCAAGTTATACTATCGGAAAAGATGAGTGATTCGGAAACCGTTGTTGTGGCGTTTGTCCTCGAGGGAATTTCTCTAGCCATCTCATTTTGGTTTCATGTGAACTGATGAGAAACTATCGAATCGATTAAATCCTCATTAGATCTTGTAGTCAAATGCCCGGGGAGGGCGGGGAGACCAAATGTACATTGTCATACCTAAGGAGGAGAAGGTTTCTGAAAATAAATTTTGGTACGTTCTGAATGCTGATGTCGGATATGTGGCACATTTGTTTTGTTTTGCAACGGCACAACAATGCCCTCTTAACCAATTTTGCAACATAGCAATTGTACCTCTTCCGGTGTATGAACCTTTTGATGAGTTGTCCGGATGTAGACTTGAGAAAACTCCGGTGCTGTCAGACTATCTGGGTGCTAGTGAAGAGTCAAGTCCGTGCTACAGCAAACTGATCGATGCTGTCACGTGACTCACCTACATGATCGACACAAGTGGAAGATGAACGCTGTCTACATATCTATCACACGGAACTAATCTAATGGAATAGATGAAATTCTCACATTCCATGGGCTTGATTATACTTTGACCGATCAAAACATTTTCAGACAATAAATATTACATCCTTCACATTTTGTTATTTTTCACTTTTTCTCCCGTATCCGAACAACCAGAACCTACTTGGCTGGTGACGGTGATCAATCCCTGAAACTGACAGCCAAATTTATNAATTTATCAAACGGTTGGAAACGGAAAAGCAACGGCCGAGCACCGCGACATATCGAAGCCTACGGGATCATTACGTTCAAGAACTGAATCCCTATTATGATCACTTTCTTCAGGTAATCTATGACCATAATGAGCTCAGGGTTATTTTCAACTTTATCAACTGTTACATGAGTAGTTTCTCCTCGATGTATGATCAGTTGATTGTTACATTAGCTAACGCACAATTCAATCTAAATTATGTCTCACATCATGAAAGGACAGATATAATCGGGGTAAATGATCCATCCGAACGCATCAGTCGGTCATAATGAGCAAAGCGCACTGTTCTCGGGGATCAGAAGTACGCTGTGTGTCAAACACAAAGCATGTCTTTTGTGCAGGACAGACAGTTCAGTTCAATTCAGTTTGGTGCAGGAAACGCTGACAGCAGCTGACCAGTTTGTCCAGGTTTGATGAGCTCCAATAACTTTGTGGTGCTGCGACAAAAGAATCAACCTACCTCGTCAGTGTGAGAGACAGCTAGTCATATCATCTTACTACGAAAGGATGATACAGAGTCAACGTGTTTCAATAGCCGCCCTCGTGAGAAAGTTAAAACCAGAATTGAAGCCGTTTGAAAGTGAAGAGTAGACCTAAAAGAGAGGAGAAAAAGGTAGTTGTAAGCAAAGAGATCAAAAAGGTAAGATGAACGTAAAATCAAAGTTAAAGTTTTATTATGGGAATAACTTACAAACTCGTGCTTCTATTGTCCTCATAGGATATTTACACAGAGGAATCGTTACACGTCAAAAAAGGAGCCACATAGAGTTCCGGGTAGGAGATAATAGAGAATGTAGGCTATAGTGAATTTCCGTTTGCTTTTAGTGGTGTATGAATGTAAGGTGTGCCAAAGTTTCATCGAGTCTCTGCTTGAAATATTCAAAAGTCGGTGCACAAACGACGTGAGATGGGAGGACGTTCCAAGAACTGCATACCCTGACTGCAAAAGATTGGCGCCGGCATTCTCACCGACACTTTGGCACCAGCAACTTGAAACGGTGTCCCCTAAGGTGTACATTGTTCGATAGCATGAGAAGCGATCGACACGGATGGTTTGGGTTCTGCAATATTTGATACGTCAAAATCTAGTCTTCCCGAGTTCGGCGGTACTGAGCAGAATATAGTCTCAATGATCGTAATCTCTCCTCATAGATGAGGAATTGCGATCCTTTGACCATCTTGGCGGCCATCCCTTGTGGGTGCTGAAGCATCTTGCGATCACGTTTCAACCATGGCCCCCAAGCTTGAATTGCGTACTGTGTGCACTGATAGCAAACGAGGTAATAGTGATTATTTAAACCGGCTAAAGACTCATCGAAGTGAGCCGACATTCTTCTTGGCAACGGACGAAGCCTTAGCACAATTGATCGAACAGCCTAAGTCCTCTTGAACAACAATAACTAAGTCCTTTTCACTTGAATCAAATGGTAGCTGCTGATCCACGATGAAATGCGAGAATTTTCGCTTGTGGAGAAGAGATAGAACTTTGCATTTTGTAACATTGAATTCAACGTCGTTTTCCTTAAACCACTGATAAGCTGCGCTGAGTGATTCCTGAAACGTTACAGAACCCTCGGGTTCGGTTACTGTGTTCCACATTTTGGCGTCGTCTGTAAACAGTACTGTTTTTGGGCTTAACACTGTCGGTAGATCATTTATGAAGACGAGGAACAGACGGGGACCGAGTACCGACCCTAGTGGAACACCGCGGATGGCTTTGATAGATCCGGATGTGGAATCAGAAGCACGAACTAATAGGGTCTGTTGTTCGAGGAATGCTTTAATCCACTCAAATGCGAAATCTCGAACGCCGTAATTATAGAGCTTCTATAGCAACATTTTGTGGTTCACCCGATCAAATTCTTTCGAGAAATCGAGATAAATCACATCCACCGCATCCCCTTCGTCAACTGTACTGGTCCATTCATCTCGAACAAGAAGCAGGTTCGTGGACCAGCATCGCTTTTCCCTAAACCCGTGTTGAGCTGTCGAAAGAATGTTGTATCTTTCGAGGTGTTTCATCAGGGAATCGACCACAATTGACTCCATGACTTTCGATAACACCGGAAGCAGGGTTACAGGTCGGTATTTAGCGGGGTCACTACGACAACTACCTTTGTATATGGGAGAAATGACTCTTTGCTTCCATGATTCGGGGAGTGTTGCTTGGTCGAACATTCGTTGAAACAGAATAGCTAGCGGTTTGTATATGTGATTTACCAAAAAGATCAGAGAGAGATTTCTGGTGTATGTTGTCCGCACCTGGGGTTGCGTTTTTTCGCAAAGCCATTATTTTTTATTTGATCTTGTCAGCAATAAATTAAACTTAGATCAGTGAAGGACGTGGAAGATGATGGAACCGGTCGGGTAGTTGTAAACCTTCAACCTGCGGTGATGCACAGACCTTTGAATGCTGAGTTTTCAGCATTTCAGCTGCTTCCATTGGAGTGGCTGCATCTATTCCAGCGCTGCTTAGTACCGGTATACCAAACTTTACTTTCCGAATGAAGTTGACGTGTTGGTACAACAGCTTAGGGTCAGAGATGAATCTCTGTGTTATCGCCTATTGGTATTTCAGTTTATCCTCACGAATCAGCCTGGTGCAGTGGTTCCTCAACATACGGTAATTATTCCATGAGACAGCATTCGGAAGACGATTATAATCACACCAGGATAAGTCTCTCGCCGATAGTCATTTTCTTGTGCGGCTTCAAATAGGTAAATTTCGGATACCTGATTTGGTGATTATCCTAGTCTTAGACACGAATGTCATTAGATTTGTGAGATTGTCAATAAACTTCTTCCAGGTGACCAACGGATTGGATTCTTCGTCATAGGAAACCCACTGAGCAGAGAGCTCCAAGTTATTCAACAGTATGTAGTCTATAGATCTGTCCATCTTACCTGAGGGACTTTCTTGAATCGAAACGTAACAAATGTATTTCAATGTAAGTACTGCGTGATCGCTTCGTCTTAGGGGGAAGTCACATTTGACAGACTCTACCATCAGCTCCTCATTGGTCAACACTAAATCCAGTATAGATGGTGACTATAGGTTGCTAAACCTAGTGGCCACCTTCACATGGTTGTATAGTGGATGCGAGTCAATCAACCGTTTGAAATGATGTTCGAAAAATGAACGGACGGTCGCTGATTTGTTGAGATTAGAGCAGTTGAAATCACCCATAAGAAGAACATGGGTAAATTTTTGTGTGATAATGTGATAAGGATACTTACTAAAAGCGTTTCATTGGCCGTTTCTGGGGATGATGGGGGACGATAGACTACACCAATCAAATAATCATTATGTTTGGACAATTTCAACCTACACCATATGTAGTTCGGAGGATTAAAGAGGAAAGCAGATGAAATTTTTTCTCCCTCCCTCCTACCGCCCCCCCCCGTCCCNNNNCCCCGTCCCCGTCCCCGTCCCCGTCTCATCTATCTGCTATCATTTTTTGACCTCGACTGTTGTTGTGTAATAGCCGTGGGTGGAGTTATGGTACGTACGATTAGTCTCATTCAAATGGGAGAATCAAGATTGCGTCAACAACAACAATTTGCCAATAAACTCGAACATCCAGGCGCATCCGCTCTCAGATCAGGAACAGGAATAAAACGACGCAGAAATTAAAACTTTATCGTAGGTATATCCAACTGTGAACGAACTGAAAGTGAAAGAGAGAGAGAGGCAGTCTGGGTCATATGCATCACGTGACAAAATATTGCACACCCCACCTTATCGATTTTTGGATTATCTTAACTGTCCCGTTAAACGATCATTCTTTTCATCTTTTCCTTTATAATTCTTTCTCATTTTTACTTCCTTTTATTAAATATACAAAGATACAATTTCTAGGAAAGGGGGAAACGGCAAGTCAAAGGCTTTCCATTCAACACCGAATGGGAACGTTAGGCAATGGTGGTGGTAGGATTCGAACTCACACACACATCCCAACCCCCCGTTGATAATTTGGTGATGGTATCACCGGGTCAGCATCACCACTATGATCATTTTGGAGATTCGAAACAGCAATCAAATAAAAGCCAAATATGAAGTTTCACCAAACAAACTTTGATTTCAATGAGCGATTTGAATTTTCACTACCAAAATTAATGTACTCGTGCAACTTTCCCGTTGAAATCGGTTACGTACCGGGTACATTTCGTAATAAGTAGTGTGTGAACGACTGGGGAAAAATTCCCTGGAAGCAAACGAGCGGTTTCGCGGTTCTTGCTGCTCGTCAGGCATGCCTATCCGGTAATCTTTTGCCAGTTCATTCATATGATTGTAACCAGGAAGTGTATTTTCGTCACGATAACCTTGTTTGCAACATCGGGTGATTTTTGGGTAGGCAGCTCTTTCAGATCCAATTCATTGAAGAATCAATGGTATGATTCGATGTTTTGTAGGTGGGTTAGATGCTACTAACTGCAACCAACGTGATTTGATCATCTTTGTATAATATAGAATATATTTATCAGACAAAGTTCTATACTCTTTTCAAATTCCAGCTCACGAAAAGCGTTTTATTTTCTGGTTTGAAAACTGTTAGAGCCGTGTGCCTTCTCATTATCGTGTACTTCATCCAAAGGACAATTTGAAGTATTCATTGTTTCATTTGCAATAAAACGTCCAATTCAAATAATGTTTTTATCCCTGTGAGGCATCATGACTCGCTGAGTTTGAGGACACTCGAAGCAGTATGCATTTATCTTTCCAGGCTTCTAATGCGTTTATGAGTGGTTTTTAGCTGTTATCGCTTCAACTACCGGGTCACGGTGGATCTAGATCTATTACATACCTACCTTTTGTCTATCCAGCAGGATAACGAACCCATTTCATAACTCACATCGAAAACAAAATACCGGTTATCATTTCCTAGCCACATTTGAACTAAAAAAAAACACGAATCAGCTGCATGTTTATTTAGGGAGTGGAACAATGGAAACACCAACGTGATTGGAAATCTCGAAGAGTGCGTAGAGAGAAGGTGTGCATAATTTCTGAGATGAAATGACCAATGTACCCGGTACCTAACCAACTT